TTTGTTAATTCTTTGGGATTTTCTGAATAGACAATCATGTTGGTGGCAAACAAAGATCATTTTAGTTCTTTCTTCTCCACCTGTGTATAGATTACATCTATCGACTTAACAAATGTTGAAGTAAATTTGTGTACTTGTGAATCCCATTTGGGTTGTGGTGTATAATTATTTTAATATATTGTTGAATATGATTTGCTGCTATTTTGTTGAGGATTTTTGCGTTTACCTTGATGAAAAATATTGGTCTTCAGTTTTCTTTTCTTATAATGTCTTTATCTAGTTTTGGTAGTTAGGAGAATGCTGGCCTCATAAAATGAATTAAGAAGTATTTCCTCTGCTTCAAATATTGGGGAGAAATTATAGAGTAATATTTCTTTGTTTCATAGAATTCACCAGTGAAACTGTGTAGGTGTGGTGCTTTCTTCTTTGGAAGATTATTTATTTTGTTTTATTATTTACATTATACTTTGAGTTCTGGAATACAGGTACAGAACATGCAGGTTTCTTACATAGGTATACACATGCGATGGTGGTTTGCTGCACCCATCAACCCATCACCTACATTAGGTATTTCTCCTAATGCTATCCCTCCCCTAGCTCTCCAACCCTCTGACAGGCTCCAGTGTGTGATGTTCCCTAGGTGCATTTGTTCTCATTGTTCAGATCTCACCTATGAGTGAGAACATCAAGTGCTTAGTTTTCTGTTCCTGTGTTAGTTTGCTGAGAATGATGCTTCATCCATGTCCCTGCAAAGGACATGAACTCATCCTTTTTTATGGCTGTATAATATTCCATGGTATATATATATGCCACATTTTCTTTATCCAGTCTATCATTGATGGGCATTTCGGTTGGTTTCAAGTCTTTGCTATTGTGAATAGTGCTGCAGTAAACATATGTGTGCATGTGTCTTTATAGTAGATAATTTACAATCCTTTGGGTATATACCCAGTAATGGGATTCCTGGGTCAAACGGCATTTCTAGTTCTAGATCCTCAAGGAATCACCACACTGTCTTCCACAATGGTTAAACTAATTTACACTCCTAACACTGCAAAAGCGTTCCTGTTTCTCCACATTTTCTCCAGCATCTGTTGTTTCCTGACTTTTTAATACTTGCCATTCTAACTGGCGTGAGTTGGTATCTCAATGTGGTTTTGATTTGCATTTCTCTAATGACCAGTGATGATGAGCTTTTTTTCATATATGTTTGTGGGCTGCATAAATGTCTTCTTTTGAGAAGTGTCTGTTCACTATTGATTCCATTTATTTAATACATGCCTCTTGAGGTTACATGTTCTGCTTGTGTGAGTTTTAGCACAGCATGTCTTTCAGGGACTTTTAACCGAGGTATTAAATTTGTGGGTGTAGAGTTGTTTGTAATATCCTTTATTATCCTTTTAATATCTGTGGGACACTTTCATTTCTGATATCAGTAATTTATGTCTTCTCTATTTTATTTTGGATTAGCTTGTGTAGAGTATTAGTTTTGTTGATCTCCTTTAAAAAAGAAGCTTTTAAAAATTGTGGTCAAACACATGAGATTTACCTTCTTAAAGTATGTAATACGTTATTGTAGATACAATGCTGTACAACAGATGTTGTAGATTATTTATCTTGCTTGACTATAATTTTATGTCTGTTCATTAGCAACTTCCCATTTCTCCCTCCCTCCAGCTCCTGGCAACCACCATTCTATTCTTTGTCTCTATGAGTTTGACTATTTTAGATGTCTCATATAAGTGGAATTATGCAGCATTTGTCTTTCTATGACTGGCTTATTTCACTTAGTATAATGTTCCCAAGTTTTATTCCATTATCATATGTTGCAGCTTTTCCTTCTTTTTTTAAAGCTTAATAGAATTCCATTATATGCAAATAACACATTTTCTTTGTCCATTCACCTTTATATGGACATGTAGGTTGTTTCCACATCTTGACTATTGTGAATAAAGCTGTAATAGAGCGCAATTGTTTTGCTGTTTATTGCAGCATTATTCACAATAATAATAAAAGAGATAATATTTCTTTCGGTTACTGATTTCAGTTCTTTTAAATAAATGCCCAGAAGTGAGATTGCTGGATCCTATAGAAATTCTATTTTTAACTTTCTTAGAAACCTTCATTCTGTTTTCTATAGTGGCTGCAACATTTTGTATTCTCATCACCAGTGTGCAAAGCTTCCAATTTCTCCACATCCTCACCAATACTTTCATGTTTTAACTTTTAATTTTTGTTGGTACATAGTAGATATATATTTATGGTTTTTCAGAAATAATAGCAATCCTAACAGGTATGAGATAATAGCTCATCCTGGTTTTAATTTGCATTTCCCCAGTGGCTTAGTAGTATCGAACTTCTTTTCATATACCTAGTGGTCATTTGTATATCTTATTTGAAAAAATGTCTCCTCAAGTCCTTAGCCCACTTTGTAATCATCTCATTAGGTTTTACGTTGTCCTATTAAGTTATAGAAGTTCATTTTCTATTTTGGAGGTTAACCTCTGTCAGGCATTTGTCTTGCAAGTATTTTCTCATTTCATATGTCGTGGTTTTTTCCACAAGAGTTGGGATTTCCAAGGTGGCTTCTTCACTCACGTATGTGGTGCCTCTACTGGGATGCATGGAACCCCTGGGCCCAGCTGAGCAGTCCATGCTAATATTTCCACCTCTCTTCTACCTCTCCATGGGGTCTTTTGAGAAGCACAGCCAGATATTTTATATGGTGACTCAAGTCTGCCTTAGTGAGTGTTCCACAAGAACAAGTCCCAATGTCCAAGGGTTTATCAAACCTTTGTTCGTGTCACTCTTGCTAATGTCTCATTGGCTACAGTGAATCATGCAGCCAAGGGCAAGTCAATGTGGGAAAGGGATACACAAAGGAATGAATGTCTATGACAGCAGTCTGGCACACTGCAAGGATGACTAAAAAGTAATGACATATTAAATGTTGATGAAGACGTGGAACTACCAAAACTCTCATAAATTGCTAATAGGAGTGTAAATTGGTACAGCCATGTAGGGAAACATTGGTGGTATCCACTAAAGCTAAATATATACTTATCTATGACCTAACAGTTCTGCTCCCAGCAGAATTGAGAAATCACATTCACAAAAAGACTTTTATGAGAATGGTCCTAGATTTATTCATAAAAGCCAAAAACTGGAAATATCTCAAATGTATATCAATAGAATAATGGATAAATTGTGGAATAGTCATACAGTGGAAAGATACATGGTAATAAAAACAAAACCTTACTTCAGCCTAGATGACTCTCACAGACATTATGTTGAGCAAAAGAAGCACACACTGTCCAATTCCATTTATATAGTGACCAATTGCTTTAGTTTTAGCACTGAGAAATCCACATCCCAGAAACCCCTCAGCTCCAGGCAAACCGCAATGGCTAGTCATGCTACATTCACACAGAGCTTAAGAAAAAGCAAAATTAGTCCATGTTTATGGTACCTCTTGGGTGCATTTTGAATACAAAAGGGCAAAAAGGAACTTCCTGCAGTGTGAAAATAACTTTTGAACTAGATGGTGACTACTTGAGCATATACACATGTAGAAATTCACTGGTTGTACATTTAAGATTAGTGCAGTTTACATACACACTTTATTATATGAACATTATACCTCAATAAAAATTTTAAAATAAAAAAAGAAGAAAACATGTCTGTAGCTTACTAGCTCCATGACCTTAGCAATTTTGTAAAAACCTCTGAGCTTGGCTTTCTCACATGTAAAGTGAAGATAATGATAATGGGTAACTCCCATGGCCCTTGTGAGATTAAATTATATTTAAAGGGGCTAAAATTTTATTTATAAAGCACCTAGTATGTGGTAGGCACTCAATTAATATTGGGTCACATCCCTGCAAATCTGATGGGAAATGCCTTCCTTAAGGGAAGATCTTCTGTTTCTGGAATTTCACTCCCTAGAACTTAAGTCATACGTTAGCTTGTGACAAGTTATTTTATTTAACTCTCCCTCTTAGCAGTCACTACCTGTGATGAAGCACAAAGCAGAAAACAAGATCCCAGCAGCACAAATAAATAGCAAGCAATCTTTTGAACTATTTGCCTTGAGGAAAAGATAAAAAGTTATTGAGTCGTGAGTGCAGTTTGCCACGTCACAGTGTATTTCCCACTGTTTTCTTAGGCTGTTTTCTTTGCCTCTTCTAAGACATTTTATGGAAACTTTTACTGAATAGTATCCAATTAGAGTAAATGCTTCTGCAACCATTCTTTTTCTGAAAGTAACTCAAAGATCTCATTTTGGCACGTGGAAGACAGCAGACTGTCTGTGTCTCTCCCATTAGGGCACAATGACATATGGGATATCACTCTCAGAAGCAATGCTATAAGGAATGCTTTTTCTTGCATCACTAGGAGTTAAGTCAATTCTACATTCTAAGCAGCATGTTTTTATGCCTACAGGTACAGAATTGTGCAGACCCATTTCATTCACTTGCTTTTATGCCTTTATGGAATAAAATATTCAGGTTTCTTTTAGGTTAACTCCCTGAGCATCCAGAAAGTCTACAATTTTTGACCAAGAATTCTTGTGACTTTGGGAGGTCCAAGAAGATTACATGTGGCTGTCTTGTGCAGCACAATAATCCATTTAATTCTTCATTTGCCTCCCTTTACATAATGTCTGGGAAAAGTTCACATTATAAGCCAATATATAGAAGCGCATTCTTTAACTACAAAACTCTTTTGAGTGGCATTTTGTGAGAATTAGAATTATTCAGAGATTTGGGTTTGAGAAATATGTTCCTATATGTTGTTTACAAAGAGGATCATTCTAATTTCCATGGAAAAAAATGTGGATGTAGAATTTGAAACATGAGTTTGAATCTGGCTCCCTCTATAAAGCTGTGCAACCTTCATGAATTACCTAACTTCTCTGCATCTGAAAATAGGGAATACTAAATAATACCTACCCCTCTAGATTGTTGTAAAGGATTCATAGGAGGCTAGTACAACATTACCTGCATAGTAGGTTCTTCATACGTGAATAGTTTATACCTTTATTCTCATTCAGATGGCTTCTCAAGGCTCAGGAAGTCCACCTGGAGACCAGAAAGGGAGGACAGAAATCAGAATGATATATTTACCTCATCCACACAAACCAGTTGGGACACATTCAAAGTTCTTCAGTCCACACGAATGTTTCACTTCCCTTCTGTGTTCTATATATTGAGCACATGATAAGCCCTTCAGAAATGTCAAATAACAAAGCCATTAGTTGCCTCAAGAAATTAGCTGATCCTTGCGTGCTTGTTTCTCAGAAAATCAGTAATTTTTTGCCAGGTTTTTGAAATAAAGAAACTGAGTCTAACAGAGCATTGAAGATGTTAAGGCGTGTACCTTTTTTCCTCTTTTCTTTTGCCTTCGTATCCATATGTCTCAAAAAGAAATTCTGCACAGATTAGAGATATCAGCCCAGAGCAAAAATGGCTTGTACATTATGTTGAAAAGAATTTCTAAGTTATTTCATAGGAAGGCTTAGCTACATATTTTTTAATTTTTTTTAATAGTTTGAATTCCATTTGCAGAATTTAGTCTACTGATTCAATACTGGCAATGATATAAAAGTTTAGCTTTATTGAAACATATTGCTTGAATTTAAATCATACTGGGATATTTATGGCCTCAACTCATTTTTTAAAACACCCACTAGTAGAATGACTTCATTGGTCAGCAAAATTGCTCAGCTCTCTCCTTCTCTGGGGGTTGGGAGAAAAGTGGATAGCTTAGAGCTTAGAAGTAGACTTAGTGATGTGATTTCACAGAGTCAGAATTGCCAATTCCTCCCCTCCATGTCCTTCATGATGCCTGGCATTCTCAACAGAAACCCTACTCCTTCATCAAGGCTTTATTTCTTGTTTTATTATTATTGTTTTAAAGCAATCGCTTTGATTGGCACCACTGTTCTATTCCTGGGCCCTGGCATGCCCTCCCATCTCAGTAATACTAAATGTCAAGAGAATAATCTGAGGTGAAGCTGCCAATACCACGCTGAAAACCTGGTCAGTGCCTCTCGAGGAGACTGAGCAATTAGCCCTCTCCCAGCCTGGGCTTCTGGCTGTCTTGGTTTTCTTTCTAAGCAGGAGTTCCAAACTTTACCCAGTAACTCTCTCTCTCTCTCTCTAACCCAGGAAGGAGTAAATCTTGTTATATATCAGTCATATTCTTCCCTTTCATGACTTGCTTAGAAGCACAAATCTGGCCAAAACTGCTCTCCAGGCTGGGCCCAAGGAATGTCCCTGTCTTCAGTTACTATTTTTGTTTTTCTCCCCATAGTAACACTGCTACCATAAATTAGGGGCCTAACTACTATAGCTCAGTGAATGAATTATGCACAATCCAGATGTAAGCAAAACTCTTACCTCTGTTTAGAGTCCGCTTCCTATGACTTGCATATGATTACAAGGATGCAGACTGTTCCATGTTCCCACATGCGTTATTTCCTTGATTGACCTCTCTCCTTCCTGGAGGTTTTATCATCTGCATAGTTAACTGGAATGTACTAATTTCCTTCTCTTTCCTCCAGTCCTGGTGCTTTGCCCTTTCTCCTAGGCAGTAGATCCCCTCTGATTGGTTCTTCTCACACATTGTCTTCTAGCAACCTGTGACTTCAACGTCATCACTAGTCTTAATGTAAATATAAATAGAGATTACATTTGCTTACATGTAAATGCACACATTTAAATGTATACTGAGACCTGAGAACAGACTTGGCCTTTTCACTACGTTGTTATGACTTAAGGACTAAGTCCAGTATTATGGCTTCAGGGGCTGAAGCTGGAGTGAGAATTGTGATCTGACAGAAAGACTGAAGAATGAGCACATTGGAAAATCAGTTAGGATTCCAGAAGTTGGATCCTGAGAGTTTAGAGAAGTTGTGTCCAGTGGAAATTTTTGCAAAGATAGAAATGTTCTATAATATTCTATGTTGTAGCTACTAGCCACATGTGGTTACCAAGTACTTGAAATGTGACTAGTTCAACTGAAAAATGGAATATTCAATCTTATTTTAATTTTAGTTAATTTTAATTTAAGTAGCCACAGGCGAGTGGTGGCTATTCTACTGGACAGCTTAGAGGGAACTGCACATGTTCTAAGAGGGGAGGACGGAAAGCTGAATCCTAGATATAGATGCTGTAGTAGGGAACCAAGAGGACATTATACTCTAAGGCAAGCTGGACAGCTGTAGAAGAGAATGGACAGGAAGTCACTCCAAGCATCTTTCTAGAAAACTCACCTCACTACTTGGCTTGTCGGACAGGTAGAGTTGTGCTCAGAACTTTATAGAGGAGCCCTGAACCAAAGATATCTAGATGATCCTTTTGAGCTTCAACTTTTCTTCTTTAAGAGATTAGTGAGATTTCTCTGGAAGGTGGCCCAAAGCTCAAACACCATAAAGATCAGCACTAAAGCTTTAACTTTTGAAAGTCAACTACATAGCTTTGATTTCAATTATTATTTTTTATTTAAAAGAGTTGCAGTTAAATACTTAATGTTTTCAAAGAATCCACATGAATTTATTATTGAAAAAAGATTCCTCACCCTTTAGAGATCTCAGGGCGCTTGTTTTAAATAAAACACCTAGAAATAGCTGTAATGAAATCAGTTTAAGGCTAGGGTCATAAACAATCAAACGCAGGCCTAGAAACTATGGCAGCTTGAATTTCTAGGATATAGATATTTCCAGGAGAGTAGCAGCGTTTATCATCCTGTAGAGTAGCATAAATCAGAATCTACTCAAGAATGTTTAAGAAGAAAAAGAATATATTATTTGTTCATTTATTTAATAAATATTTCGCATGTCCAGCACCATTCTGGGATCTGGGTATAAAGGAGTTACAAAATAGATGTATCCCCCACCCTCAAGGAGGGAGACAAGATAATTAACAAATACACAAGTAAATAAATATATATAATGTGTCAGAAATTGATTAATGCAATAGAAAGGTCCAAAATAGGACAACGAAAATCATGAGCTGGATGCTGGATTGTAGGGAGATTATTGCTATTTTACATTGGGTGTTCAGGGAAAGCATCACGGTAAGACAATATTTGATCATAGGTTGGAAAAAAAGTGAGCCATGTGCATATTGGAGGAAGACCTTTAAGACTGAGGAAGCAACAAGCCCAAAGGCCCTAAAGGGAGAGCTGAGTGCCATGTTCATAAAATACTGAAGATTGTCCTGGGGAACAACTGAGGCAGAAGATCTGGGGGAGTGTTTGTAGTTAGAAAGGTAATGGGAGCCAGACCATATTGGGCATTTTTGATGCTGAAAAGTGTTATTCAAAGCTGTGAAATCAGATGCAATCACCTGGGACAGTTTGGGCACTCCACACACTTACATATCAGAAAAATGAGGAAGACTCCACAAAAGAGACTGTGAAAGAGGGGCTAATCCTGCAGGAGCAGGAGAATAATGTGCCAGAAACCAAGTGAGAAATGTTTCAACACAAAGAAGTTATCAATGTAAGCGTTAATAGGTCAAGCAACACGAGGGATATAAATCGCTGCTGGATTTTGCAAGGTGAAAGCCTTGGTGATTGATAGAGTAGTTTGGAGTGATTGATAGTTTGGGGATAGGTGAGAATAAAGGCATTCTTGCAGTAGCTCAAGTGATGATGGAAGGTGGGGAGGAGACAGTGAATCAGGAGACTCTTCTACAGAGTTTTGTTTTAAAAGATAATGGTCATGGGAGGCCGTGGGAGGAGAGATGGACTTATAAAGCTGGCATAAATTGTACTGTATTTGTGTCCCAAGGGAAATGATAGAGCAGAGAAGAAAATGTGGTAATTTAGGAGAGTCAGGATAATTACTGAAGAAGATGCTTGTGATGAGAGGTGGTGGGATCAGGGACACAGTGGAGGAGGTGGCCTTAGACAGGAGCAGGAACTGGTACCAACCAAGCAGAACAGAAGGGAAAGCACACTGGTATATGTGCAGGTCAGTAGGTAGATGTTGGGTTAGTAGTGTGTGGAAGCCCTTCTTCAAATTTACATTTTCCCAGTGAAATATAAAACGTAGTGATGAGCTGCTGAAGGAGAGATATGGACGTTCAAGAGAAAAAAGAAGGTGTAAAATAGATGTCTGAAAGGGTGAATAAGTAACAGTAACCTTGGTGGATGGAATTGAAGGGACCAAGAGAACAGCGCTTCCAGCCAAGAGAACTACACTGAGTGTCTCAGTGTGGCTGCTGTCCTGGCAGGGATGGTGTGCGTATGAGATGAGATTGGTGGAGAACATGGTGGACGGTGAGGTTAGAGAAGGAGACTGCAGCCTGACTGTGAAGTGTACACCTTTAAGAATTTTTTTATGTATCTTGCAGGTGAGGAATTGTCAAAGTATTTATGTTTGTCTATTGGCTTGATATTTCAAGACCGCTTTATTCAAATCATGCACAGCGTATCCACCTATATTAGAGCTTCCTTGGCTAAACTAAGAGACAGGAGAGTATAAATTTCCACCCTTTCTCCCCTTGTTGTTCTGTGAGGCACCTGTGTGGACTCCTGTGGTTCTGGCAGTTTGAACTGCACTGACACAGGGTTGCCAAAGGACTATCAACTGGGAATATGATCACTTTGACAGGTGTATGGAGTAGGAATTGAAATTGAGAGAATCTGGAGAAGGAGAGACAAATTGGAAGCCCACTATACGTGGCTTACTACTGACAGGACAATAAGGGCGTTCAGGGACTGGAATGGCAGATGGGGGGTGGTGGGGAAGACTGAAATGAGGCCATTGTGATGATTGGATTTAGGGAGAGAGGGAGAAAGAAGAGTCAATACTTTCTATTCATGAGGTGGTAGTAGGCAATTCAGAACTTTCAGGAAAAGCAGAAATTTAGAGAAAAGGAGATAATAAGTTAGTTTTTGTATAACTTCAGTTTGTGATATTGGAAAGATATTTAGACAGAAGCATTCATTATGTAGGGAAAGTAGGCCTAAAGTCAAGGAGAGAAGTGGCGCTAAAGATGTAAATGCAGAGGTGTTGGCAGCTGATACTACGGATATGGACAGGCTGGACTCAGGAAAGCAGGCAGAGGGA